TAGATGAACTTGAAACCCTTTCAATTTTCCCAGTCCTTGAAAGACTTCTTGATATTTGTTAATTAGCTCTTCCACTTTGGTATCTTCTCTCACTTTTTCTTGTGCCTTTTCTTTAACGGGTTCCTGTTTAGACTTTGTAGTGCCTTCTATGGATGCAACTATTTGTACCAGGCCCAATTTTGAGAACTTTTCCAGCTTATCAAGCAACCCGTATTCCCATTAACAACAAAAAATGTCTCCAACCCATATAGTTTATCGGTTTCGACCACACACTGACATTTTCCTTTAATTGATAGTTGTTTCTCCGACCCATAAGGGAAGATTTTCTCATTTGCTTCCTGCAATATTGGCTTTTCTTCAATTTGTTAAAATTCACTTCATCCAAGAGATTTACGCTGGAACCGGTATCTGCCATGACTGACACAGGAGTACCATTTATCTTAACTTTAAATTTCGGCAGCTTTTGTTGCGCCGTCAACGTTGAAAATACATATTCATCTTCCATACTTGATTCGGACGTTATTTCTTGCACCGTATTCACTTGACGAGGTCTTACTTGATTACGTTTTATCTGTTCGTTTCGCTTTGTTGATTCAGCTCGAGAACTTTGATAATTGTCTTGCATCAGCTCTTTGCCTCTTCGATTCTCATGGCAACAAACTTGGAAATGGTTCCATTTTAAACACTGTCGACATTTCTTTCCATATGCCGGGCAATTTGTTTTCCCTGGACGATGTTCACGAGCACAAAATTTGCATTTGATCTTCGATGAATATTCGAAGCATTTGAGGTTTTTCCGTGGGCGTCTTGAACTGCTTTCTTTTATGCCAAATTCGATTCGTGCTTTCGATGCCTTCTGATTGTGTTTTTGACATCTCCATTGTTTTACCCATTTGTATTAATTTTTCCATCGTTATTTCTGGGTCTGCAAACGCTTTTCTCCGCAATTTTGAAGACGAACCATTTTGTATGATCTGAGTTTTTATCTCTATGCTTTCTTCATGAAATTCGCAAGATTTGGCCAATTGTTTCAATCTCGTATAGTATGCGGATATGTTTTCTCCTGGGAGTTGTTTCGCTTGACGAAACTTATAAACTTCGAATTCTATATTTTTCTGTGGAGTGAAGTAATTTCGTAACGCTTTCTCCGCTTTTCTAAATACATCTTCTTCTCTGTCTGGCTCGTCGATTTCTAGAGTTTCAAATATCTCATTAACTTCTTCACCGACATAGTGCAGGAGCATCGCCTTCTTTCTTGCGGCGTTTGTGATGTTCATTGCCAACAACAAATTCTCCAATCTTGATACGTATTTTCCCCAAGCTTTTCTCAGGTCTGGTTCTTCTAGGTTGAACGTCGGGAAGCTAGGCAAAGCTGTCATGTTCGAATTGTAGTATCTTTCTCAGGATCAAATCGTATTTCTTCGTCCCTTAATAATCTTTGTCGCCAGATGTAATATTGTGAGATTTCTCCCTTTTATTGCTTAGTCATGTTACTTATATACAGATCATTACTTAATTATTATATACGTAGTATGACGTACGAAATACTAATAATTTGAATAATAACTATACTACAAGTATTTTTTTTGAATTACCAAAACTTTCTGAGAGATACCGTACTGATCTGGCTACGATTCTTCACTGATATATGTCATGAGAAAGATTTACACTTCATTTTAGCTGTAGTCTGTACTAAGAAAAAGTTCAAAAAAATGAAATGTTTTTACTAATAATTTATAATTTGCTTTCATTGTACAATCATAAACATTGCAATTGAAGAAATGGTACTTTATGCTGTACTTGATGTTTCGTAAATCATAAATGATTAGAAACATAATAATTCATGAATGCAATATCTGACGTCATTTTTGAAAATCTTCATCCATTTTGAGTGAGACAAAATGATTCTTAATTTTTATTTCGATATCATATTCCAGACACTTCTGATTCCTACAATGCATCAATTTATTGGTAAATCAATCTACAGGATTAACAAGTCCCAACGGAAAAACTGAATGTGAAGATTTACAATAGATTGATTTTTTCAAGATTTCTTTTAATTACAAAGTATGTCGAGGTTTGCCTCTCCTTTGGAAACACATCATAAACAGATTTAATTAATTTTATTTTAATGCAATCGCAGTCATCTCTGGTGGTGGGCAACACAAGCACATGGTAGGTAGCAATCACCAGCATTGTCTTGCGGAATCCACGCAATAACTTTATGTAACTTCAAAAGAAAATCCTACGGCTTGATTTGTCAATTGTCAAAGATAATGTCATTCAGTAAATCATTTGATTTGTCAATAATATTTTATTCTTAGCAGAAATAAAACTTTATCATTTTACTTTTTTTATATAGATTATGATAATATGGTTCATTACAACTTATTTACACGTAGTTTTCTATTACAGATACATTTCAACAATGGATAAAAATGTCAAACACATAGCATTTTCTACATAAGCTTTCAAATTTTCCACGACACATTTTACGAAAAGCCTCTTCGATTAGAATTATGTTTTTAGTGTATTTCTTTGACATGATTCCCCATCACTAGGATCTTTCGTCATAGTCTATAAAATTTTATAAAATTTAACTCTCAGAAAAGCGATTTCCTGCTTTTACTATATATGAAGGAATATAGCAAAACCCTATTCATGATCTGAACGGAAAAAAAATTCGAAAATTTTGGCTAATTTAAAATTTTGTCAGGTTTGAGAGCCACAATTTGGTCTCTGTTTGTACACTCTCTTACGAAATGTGAAGTAACACCACATTCTTTGTTGGAAAATAGCGGTCTTCCTCCACACAAATCAAGTTTTTTCACAATCACAACATAATATACTTCGCACTGGCATGCCTGTAATTCAGCAGTGCTGCATTGACAGTCTGGCTGTACACGGTAAAGCCCAACAATGATACCATACATGGTAGTTGAGCTGTCGATTTGCACATAATAATCATGGTGTCTTTGGGATCTTGTATAACTTTCCGAAGTGTATAGCACATGATTTACAATAAATCTGTTATAAAAAGTAGCTGATCGATTGGCAACGTCTCTGTTAATCATTTTTGCCACGGAAATGGTCTCAGATGGTGTGAGCTAAAATATTTTTGCGATTCCAGTGCCAAAATTCCCAAAATCAAAACATGTATTTCTATTCCAGCACCTTTCAGTGTCTTTACGTTTAGTGTTGTTCCTGGCTTCCTGCTTTGTTTATTTACCATCAGTCATAAGATCAGTATACGTGTTCCCATATTCAAAATGGTGACCTAAAAAATTTCTAAAAGAAAACAAATTTTTCTAAAAAGTGACAAACGAAAAAAATCACAGGCAGTTTACACTGCTAGCCAATCAAAACGTCAAACGAAAAAGGTTGATTTCCTTCATTCTTCTTCTATTATTGTTCCTTGTTATAAAGAAGTTGAAAATTAAATGTGAAATAGTAAAGACTTTTTGTTGTGAATCTGTACGAAGCATTTAATATATAACCCTTTGCCAATTTCTCGAAAATTAAAAAAGTTGAAAAACTGTATGCTTATTTTATTTCATTTTGCATATTTTATAAGAGGCAATATACAATATTATTTCATTTGTATTCCTCAATCAATTAACTTTAAGCCGATATGTGTTAGAGATTTTTTTTCACTCATGTCTTTAAGCATTCTAACTATTAATTAACCAGAGTGTTTTATACTTTATTATAAAATATGAACAATGCAAGTCATGCACAGCATGATTCGTCTGTATAATTGAGTGTGAATTATTCTGTTAAACAATCAAACTCTATCACTGCAGAGATCAATCAATTAAATAAATTACGGAGAGTTTGAAAATCAAGATAATTTATAGGAAAAATTAACATATTTGCTTTGATTCCGTATACAAGAAATAAAAAATGTTTACTGTGTTTTCCCTAATTTTTGCAATGACAGAAAATATCTTTTATTTTAAATTGATTAATTTTTTCTTCATCTAGACGTATACACAATGCTTTGGTAATAATAAACTATGTGTACTTTTTACAACCAACTCGTACCAGTATTGAGCCCTAGCCAAAACTATTTAACGCTTTCGTCATCGCCTTTTTTGTTTTGTCAATGAAACAAGGTCTCCTCCAGAACACAATTTAATCTTTGATGAAATAGTGTCGACACTAAGGTAAATCTGAATTAATTTATCTATTTATTCATTTATACTAATTTCAAAAGACTCATATAAAATTTCTTCATGATTCTAAGTGAAGTTTAAAAAAATGTATGAAAATTAGTCGAGTTTTATTTATTTAGGAGTGTTGCTTGGCGAGAATGTAATTAATGAAAACATTAATGTGAAAATTTCGCAGAAGTTAAGCGAATTAGACCAATTTCAAACTGGAAGTGAGGTACTATTACTGCATTAAGAGACTTGGTTAATGCATGGGACAAAAGCTTCACAATAATCTAGAGACAGCTGTCATGATAATGCAATAGAGATGACCTTGTCTTTCTATCAACATACATGCACTTGCCATTTTGGACTGTCAACACGTAGAGAATCAATACGAATAAAAAAAGCTCAGCTCAGATCATATTTAAAGTTTGACATCTCACTTGCAAGACCCTTAATCATACTGAAAAATTGTATAAGCATGCATGTCAGGAAATTTGTGTAATATTTCAAGGTTTTTCTGTTTGAAGAGTGAAATCTATAGTTCTTACATTTTGAATAAACGTAGACTGGTAAATCAGATCCCATGACGAGCAAATAAATTGTAAAAATATAACCCCCATGTTTGGCGTTGCTATGTTGCAATCTGAAGTAAATATTTCAAAATCTTTACTTTTGCTTGAAATTGTAATATGTGTATCAGACGCAGCACTACTGTAACATAATTCATCTTTTATTCATTTCAGTCGAATCAACTTCCATGTCATTAAAAAATAGTTACATTTAACGCAAACAAAAAACTTTAAATTTTCTCAAGGCAAAAATACAAGTGAGACAAAGTGTTAATCATGTTAAACATGAAGAAGGAATTTTCGCAACGATTGCATATTGACCTGGATTAATTTCTTCGACCACACGATTGACAACGTTGATCATGTCTCTATAGTTCCTAAATCTGAGAATATGATCTTCTACTGGTAATGTAGCAATTTGAAATATTTCTTCAATTCCACGGCTAAAATATCCAACACCGATAACTAAGATTTCTACACCGTCATCTTTCAGTTTCTTTGCATTTGGAACTGTTTGACGACGACTTATGTTTGACTGTCCATCTGTCACAAGGAACACCATTTGACGTGCACCACGACGGCTTCCTATAAACTGTGCAAAAATGAAATGAATATTGGCTTGAGACAGTTTGAGAGATAGTCATTTTATCCGATTTGTGAAGGAAAATATTCATGTTTAAGAAATATTATTATCATTATTATCAAAAACTGATACATGACAAACCAGTTGCCATGAGCTTATTGAAGGGCAATATTCAAGGAAAAAATCAAGGAAAAAAGGATAAAAAATCTCAAAACAATCTCCTCACCTACAGTGTTACAATATCTCGATTGCTGCAGTATATGAGACATTTGACAGATCGGATTCGTTTTAGATATCAGAAATTTTGCAACTATCATGTTGTTAGAACGCCATTTAAACGCCTGTTATGACAAAAACTACTTTTTGTTGTGTGATCCAAAAAATTGGATTCTTTTAATGCATCCTTTTTATAAATTATGAAGTATTTACGTGCACAAAATATTTGAAATATTCATATATTAGCTAATCTAACTCACCTTTCGTAGAATCATCAAATAAATCTTTTGCTTTTGCTAAACCGCCAGCAGTGTTCGTCCCTCCATTTTCAAAAAAAAATGAATCAGATTTTTTGGCAGCTTGTGAAGCAGGAAAGAAATTGAACATGATTCTTGCGTTGGTAGAGTACTGAACACCAGCCCAGTTACCATCGTAGTTGGGAGGCAATGTTATATTCATGAGATTTTTCATAGCCTGTTTTCCCTTCTTCTATTTACAACTGCTAATGGAGCCAGATGAATCCATTACAACAGCAGTATCTTGAAGATAAATTCTTCGTTTATTCAGGACAGAAGATGGCAGACGAAAGAATTTTTTTACCAATTTATCTGCTGTGACATTTTTGGAGGAATTTGTTTGAATTCTGAAATGAATATTTCATGAATAAATTGTTCGTTAAAACCACAAAAAGCCGTAAAACTTGTGGAATGATTGGTTATAGTGTTGCATTAGCCAGTGGAAAAACAGATGTGAGCTCAAACAAATAAGTTAATCAATCAATTATTTATTGATGATTTGATGATTATTGATTTGACGATTTACAAATCAACCATAAATACAATTTATATTGTAAATTTGTAAAAGAAACAAAAGATGTTTTTCGTCTTTGCACTGGTGTATACGAAAACCTTGCAGACGCTTGTGAGAGTTCTCGAGCAGGTGCAACCCAGAGCCTTCTGTCTCTGGCTTGCACTAATTTGCGCTCTCCAGTTCTCGTCAATGTCTTTGCGGTTTGTATAAGCCTGTGCAAACACAGGAAACATCCTTTACTTTTGAGATATTTCTTATTTTTAAGGTATTTTTTATATAGCTATCTTAAAATCTATTGCATTTCATAAGGGTGTTTATGATTATGGCTACGCATCAAGTTTCCTTTAAAATGAAGAACAAGATGATAAACTATATCTTTTCTCTACCACGTAACAAGTTCATAGCATTTACTTACTGTCATAAAACGGCTTGTCACTAGTTGGAGGTAAAGTGGGCATTGGTGTTGTCGTTCGAATCCAAAATGGGAGAATACTCTCCACTAATGTTGTTCCACAAACAAATGCAAGAGTTAATGTAGAAAGAGCAATTGCCAACTTCATGTTAAGACTGGAATATTTTGTTAATTTTTCCTAAAAGAATTGAATTAAACTGTAAATATGTGAGGCTTTCCTTCACTTTCAAAGTATGGTACCAAATACTTTACATTGTTAATTATGTGTATGACGTTTATGCTAAGACTATTTAAGTACAAAGATAAATATTTTTTAATTTCGAACATTAGTTATTTCAATCTTAAACTGATCCAACTTTAAATTTGCTGTTGGGTTTCTTTCAATTTACATGGAATGAAAACAGAACAAGTATGGGAAACTTTAATTCGGAGTACTAACAAAAAACTTAAAATCTTTACTAAGAAGCAGCTGCAGGAAGCATGAAAATGTACCATGTTTGTTGCTTTTGCAAGAAGCAAAATCTGTATGTCAAGCATTTTTAGCAATGAAGAGTATACATTACGTCAAATAAAATTTCATATACACATTGTGTCATTGCAGGATGGTTAGCATGCTCATTGGCAAAATCAAGCAGTTTTAAATCAATTTTTCAACATGCTAGAAATATCATTGTATTGTCATTATGCACATTGCCTTTGGCTTAATTCATACACATATTTAGTTTTATTGTATGAAACTTTGATTCAGAAGTAGTCATTCTGTTCGAATACTAAGTTGTAGTTCTACTTGAAAGAAAAAGGTAGGGGTGTTATCAGCAAGTATGCTTTTTTATAGTGCCCTCACACACTGCGTGTATTTAGCAGAGGGATTCGCCAAACTCAGTATTAAAATGAGCATTAAATTAAACTGATAATGCATGGCATTCATCAAAGAGTACATAATGATTGTACAACAACAATTAACGTGCAAAACATCTACAACATTTAATTGCTTTCCGTATGTTCAACAATGCTTCAATATAATATAATACTGATAACATATAGAATAAATGTTGGCTGGTTTTTAACTTTTCTTATTTATTCCCTAGCATTTAGTAAAAAAATATGACGGTATCCAAAAGCTTTTGGAGTTGATGAAGTGTGCCATGATTGTAATGTCTTTCCAATACAGTACTTTCCTTTATCAATAACAATAGTATTCTCAAAATCAACTTCATGTCGATAATCCCATGCGTGTTTTGCTATGTTTAGCCCGAATTTATTTTATATAATGTTCCGTCTATTTAATGTCTCTATGTAATGCTCCGAGGCTCCTAATGTTCCTAATGTTCCTATGTTCCTCATGTTAATAAAGCTCTTGATGTTGTTATCTTCCTGTATATTTCATTACGTCTACACGTGGTTAATGTTAGCATTTTTCGGCAGCCATACAATCAGATTGATTATCAATACATCCGCATGACAAAGTTCCCAACATAAATCTTATCTGCCAATAATTTATTTTAACTATTATGCTGGCAGACGTCTACTGCGTTTCTTTCCAGTCCTTGATCATACGCTAGACAATGTTATATTTCAAATTTATGGTCTTTTCCTTTAACAGGCTAGACAATATGCAGGCGTTTAAATCGTTAAATGTTACTTAAACCTAGTTATTGACATTTTTCTGATTGAGATTAGATCATCTCTTCTCCTCAAATGAAAGAGTAATGGAAAATCTCTTTGTCTTTATTTATCGGAGCAATTTAATCTTTATATTAATTTCAGAACATGATGTATGATGGCCGCAGTTTTCATTGTTATACTAAATGATTCGTGCATCTAATTGGAGCAGCATGATCTTGGTTCATAGTGCATGGCTACTTCATGCCACTTGTCGCAAATACCTGTCACTGTTTATGTTGTTCAAAGCTCTTTTCAAATTGAGCTTTGTAACAGTTAGCGATTAAGGAAGTATTCTGTGATTAGTAAGAAAAACGGTAAAAGTCATGCAAACAGGCAAATTTTTGCTTCTATTGCTAATTTTCAATGTTTGTAGCTAAACAGCTGTGGAAATTTTACAGGATCGAAATAAGTATCACAGAGATAGTTAGCGATCAAGTACTTCATCTTAGAACGAATAGTTACATGCGTAACCTACTTCATTTTGTGTGAAACCAGATTTGTTTATTACGGTTTCTGTATACGTTGATTAGGTAACTTGAATATTTATTAATGATCACAATGATATATAATGTTTTTATATTGATGTAAGAGCTTCTTCTCGTGGATTGGCTTATTTGAACTGGAGTCTTTTGAAAGACAGTAATTCTTCAAATTTGTTTGCCACGTAGTCTTAAATTCCGTGAACTCAAAGCAGATATTAGCTAAATTTGTGCTTAAATCGATATATACTTAGATAAAGAGCTATAAACGTTGTTTTACTATTTTACTTATTCGTCTAGGTGGCACTTTACAAACACAGATTTTAAAAAAATTTTGCAAATATAACAAATTTAATCATTGATGACATTATTGGGCAATAGAGAAGTACTTAATTGATTGGATATTCAAAAAATCTATATGTGGCTAGATATACGATGACATGAGCTTATACAAATGGTGAAGTATGTATGCATCAATATTTACCTTTATTTAGAAGTTAGCTTTGTTCGACACAGTAAAATGTCTCCACAATTGTTATAGAAGTTTCTCTTTCTACTTCTTCTGCCAATGTCTGCAATACTGCAACTTGTGACAGCAAACCGCCTTGCTTTATACCCAAAGTGAAGCAATAGGGAAGTATATTTTTCAAAAATAACCACAGGAAGTTTACTCAAACAAAGCGTAAGAGTAGCAAAGTTGACGGAAAAGCGTCGGGTGTCGTATACGAAAAAATCTTTTTAATGGTTTAAGGTTCAAAGGCGGTCAAAAATGTATAAGTTGAAAGGATATTTGAACGTAAGAAAATTAATTATTGGCAACAGATTGTACAAACAAAGTTAACTCTTGTTCATTTTACCAAAGAATAGTTTTATTTTTTTCGAGCTTAACATTCTTAAATGCAATGAAATGTTATCAATTAAAAAAATCAACAGACGCATTCAATAAATAAGAAAAGTGAGTTAAAGGACACATCCAAGCTAGAAGACAACTTTATTTTATTGTAATGCCTATAGCGTGAAAATAAGACGTACCAAGTTTCAAAGTCGTCCGCAAAATATTTCAAAAAATATTTAGGGTTATAATCGGTAAAAACACGATATTCGATGACCATTGCTAAAACGCCGTGAGATTGTTTAAGTCTGGGAACTGGGAAAGAGTGACGTATTAGTTGACATAAACAAGCATCATTCTTATATCGTTCTACGACTTGCACGCAGTGCTTGCACGGCTTTCGGTAGTTTGCTATTACTGTTTTTTATTTATCAAAAATTAATGGATACTTCTGAAGAAGATGCCGATTATGATATTATCATTAATAACAATGAGGTACAACCTTACATGTTTGAGCTTTTGGCCAACGCGTAAGGTGGTCATAATGATGACAATTCTCCGTCATCGGAAAGCGAAGATAAATACATTCACAGAATTGGAAATGTTGAATTGTTAGTTGCATTTTATTTATGCTTCATTGTTTTTCCCAAAGTAAAAACATTGTTTTTATCTTTTAGGTGCGAGTGTGGCTTTTGTGTGGTCATGAGTACAGGACGGGAAAGTATATGTTGCCAAGAAGTAAACAATACTGATCCTCTGATACATGGCGATCATATTTGTATCACACAAGAGGAAGAGTTTGCCACAGTGTGTACAAACGAAGCTGTCGTAAAAACAGCTATGGTCGTGTACACACATGACGTTGGACCTATGCCTGAGAGTGAAGAAAACGAGTGAGAGTCTGATCCATTGTAGCTATTGCTCATCGTCGACGTGCTTTCTGTATCAGACCATACTGCGCTATCCTCAAAATGTTCAATTTCACATGACGTCGTCTGTGTGCTGTGATTTTTTGTTGAAATTAACTCAACCTCCTTACCTTAGCATAAAATTATCGTATTGCAGGATTTTTCACAAAAATCAAAACGGCCGGAATGGAAAGTCTATACCTCTAATTATCAAATTTGGCACTTTTGTTTGAGTGGTTCTTGACCTTACGTGTTTTTGCAGACGGATTGTTATGGCTGCTTGGCATTTCACATTGCGCTTCTAAGGTACGTTAAGGAATTTTCTATGAGTTAAACTAACAAAGAAAAGATCAAACGACATTAGTCTGAATTAGTTACCACTGTATATGTTTGTGTTTCGCTGTCTACATATATTTTGAAATCTTTATCTTAGACAAACTTCCTTTGAAGTAAAACGCACAAACATTTCGAGCCGATGTCGACACATCGTGGTCGTCGCCTACAAAAAAGTCGTCATGTTCTGCAAGAACGTCGTCAATATTCTAAAATTATAAAATTGTCCTCAATTTGGTAATGCTATATAGCTTAGTTTTTGATAAATGTAAACAAATATTGCTAGCTATAACTATAATAATCACTTCTTGCCTTCGTCTCTTCTCAAATGCAGTTCTAACATTTGTTGGCTGCTTCCTTTTAGATGCTACACTTGTGGGTTCCACAGAGTATTAAAAAATCGTGGATACAGCATCCTTCTTAAGGCGAAGCCGTCCTGCTGTCCATCCTACTGATTGCATCGCTTCAAAATTTTGCACGAAGCACGAACTCTCGAAATGTTGCGAGCACAATTTTGAGCTCTTTGTTGGCTTCAAATTTTTGCGTCGGATTTTTTTCAATCAAATATCTCGCATGCGCTTGTTTTCGGGAAACGAAAAAAAGAAACCTTTTGCTGCGTTTGGTGGTTTTTGAAGAACCGTTTTTACAATTAAATGCGGCACAATAAACCATATTTTCAATGCTAAATTGTCGTGTTGTTATGAAGTTACCAATATATTTTGAACGAAGCGCGCAATTGACCGCGTTTAGCTTATGTCAACTATTACGTCACAACGATCTTTTTCCAATCGGTAGCCGTCGTTAGCTCGTCGGGCATTTTCAATACGTTATCAGTAAAGCCTCAACTTTAAACCTCCATATCTTCAAAAATATTTATCCTTTGAGTCTCAAACTTTGGTGAACTATTAGTTGGAGCTATACCTTTAAGTAAAGTTCAAAAATAACAATCCGAATTTTATGTTGCATGTGTCCTTTAACGTAGATATGATTCACTCTTAATTCCTGTTCTTTCAGACATTTCCACTTTTAAAAAAATTTCAAATCGCCAGGTTTTTTGCTATTTATCGAAATTAGCTTATAATGCTTCCTTCACTAGTGCTATATGATTTAAATATTTTTGTTTCCTTTGACGCCAAACCACTTGTTGAATTGATTAAACGTAGCACATGCATACAAAAACTTTTGCTAGCGATGTGTTTTCACAAAATATTAGTCATTAATACGCAAAAAGTTTACTCGAATTCGGTTTATATTAGCACATCTAACAAAAATTGGCAAATTGCTTGCGAAATGATGAGTTTGCCATTCATTAAAGTGATATGATGATATGTTGCCCAGTACACACTGACAATTGGGTGAAAATTTGACGTAGGTAATTCTGTTACCTACGGTCGTGTCTGCAGCAAAAAATCAACATATTTTAGACATCTTAATCTTATCATATGGGATGATTGCATCCCATAACGCCGCTCATATCAAACTTACTCAATATATTGGGAGAAAAACTTCAATTTATGCGAACACAGATTACTTTTTGTAATGAGCAAGTTGCGATATGTTGTAGAATTCCAGTCCCGCAAGATGCAAGCTCTGGAGGCAGACATAGATACATAGTTACAGCAGACCAAATTGAAGAATTACGCAGTACGGGTATGAATTGGAAAGCTATTGCCAGTTGCCTGGGAGTGAGTGCCAAAACTCTTTACAGAAGAAGAATAGACTATGGTATAGCAGACACTTACTGTGACATAACAGAACAAGAGCTTGAATGGTGCATTAGAAATATTTTAAGATTTACACCCTTTTCTGGCGAAACTTACGTAAGAGGAGCTTTGCGTGGTCGGGGTATTCATATCCAAATGTGGAGAGTTAGGGAAGCATTAGAAACTATTGACCCTATTAACCGTGCCATAAGACGGAGATACGCTATACAAATGCGGGTGTACAATGTGAGGAAACCAAATCATTTCTGGCACATTGACTCCAATCACAAACTCATCACTTGGAGATTTGTCCTGCATGATTGCATCGACGGCTATAGCAGAACTATTATTTATTTGAAATGCTTCACGAACAATCTTGCGTATACTGTTTTGCAATGTTTTGTCAATGGTGCACAAAGATTTGGGCTTCCATCTCGCGTACGTGGCGATAGGGGGGGTGGAGTTGGAAAGTACACGTTGCGAGGTTTGATAGCTAATAGAGGTCTAAACAGAGGAAGCTTCATAGCTGGACGCAGCGTGCATAACTAAAGAATTGAGCGTCTTTGGGCGGAAGTGAAAAGAGTGAGTTCCTCCTATTATAAAGATCTATTCCAATTTATGGAGGAAAGCGAGCTTCTAGATGCGCACGATGAAATCGATTTGTATGCTCTGCACCATGTTTACATTCCTGCAATGCAAGCCTCGCTCAATGAGTTTGTCAACCAATGGAATCATCATGGACTTCGAACAATGCGGAGTATGTCGCCCCTAGCATTATGGCGTCCTGAGCTTAATGAAACTGATTTAACAGACGTAAATATCGATGATGTAAATTTATATGGCCATGATCTTGATGGCGAGGTAGGTGATATCGAAACGGACAATATGGTTGTTGTCCCTGAAATAGGCCGCCTTTTTCCGGAACCTTTAAGCGATGACGGCAATCACGGAAATCACCACTAACTCACAGCTCGTCAATATTTGCAAAATTATTTTCAGGAAGAACAAAAACTATTTAATGAAAAATTATTAGAATGAATTGAGACTTAAAACATACCATTTTATCAACAATCGTCTTAACTGCTTTAATTGTCACATAGAAGTCAAAGGATTTTTTAAGAGGTGTGCCGTTCTTGGATTTGGTGAAGAGAAACACAACGTACACTATAATTTATCTACAAAACAATTTTTTACTACATAAATGTATCATATAATGGGTTATTGTGAAGAAAAACCCTTGATAAAAGAGCACTATAACAGAACAGTTGTATACGTACGTATACGGTATAGTATAACTTCAACCATAACATTGTTGTTTAATTGTTCGTCTTTATCTTTTGTCTATAAAACTATGTAAAATGACCATGCAGCTTCTCGTCGAAAAATGTTATTGAATTCCTCAGACAGTTCGTTGTATGACTGGTAAGTTGATGGTATTATCAGTAGAGGAGCACATGTGTGCGCAACAGGTCGACTTGCGTTACCAGACTCATCACTAAATGCAACCTCGATTGAATCAACTGCAATGATGTTGCTACCAGTAACATACTGGAGAAAAATACTAATAACGTTGTCGTCAAGAGATTTAACGAACCGCTTTAAATGAGAGAAGCATTCCCGTTCGGCGTCAGAGGTTGGGCTTGAAATCAATAGCTTGCAAACCTTTTTCTGGTTTGGCATTTTTGCTTCATAAAAACTCACCAAGCTCTCAACACTTTCAAATTGCTTAAAACGTTTCAGTTGCTTCAGGATCAGTGACCATGCATTAGCCACGTATTTTGGACGCAGTATTATTTCTTGATGAGCAAACTCCTCAATAATTTTTGGCATCGAGCTCTTCTTAATCACCCTGCGGCACTTGTAAGTTGAAAGCACGTCAGCTACATCTTCGTCCAATGACGGGCCAGGGCATTCATCACTGATACTTCTTTTGCCTCTATAGTGTCACTTTCCTCCTTTGATATGTATTGATGAAAAGACTCTACTAGCCAATCTTTAGGAAGCGCGTCCTCCGAAAAAGACAGGAAGCATTAAATGCACTGGACAAAGTAACACGAAAATATGCAAAGTTAATAAATCCTGCAACAAGAATACGAGAAATACTTTTCCATTCACTCTGTTGGTAGTCATGACGTATGTCGCAGAATTCACTGAGTTCGTCCAAAATTGATCTGCACTCTGATTCGGTTTGTTTTATGGAGTTTATTAGCAATGAACAATCTACACAATCTTTTTGACTATTACAAATTTGAGTCTATTTATATGTTAACATTTCGTGACTTACGTGCACTACTACAACGTGAATTAATTAAGAGAGAAAATATTTAGGAAGTGTTAAGTATATACACCCTAATTTTTAATTATAATTTTGGCACACATAAAACTCTGCATGGGAACTTATAAAATCTGGCATGCAATAAAAAATATAAATGAAATATCCTAAATTATACAACACTTCTCCCTTGACTCACTCAGGAGTCAAGCATCGCCCTAACTCTTCCACCTGGCGTCCAAAGCCGCCTCTTCTTAGTCTTCCTTACATCCGCTAACTATATCCTCCTTAACAACCCTTCAACCTTACTCTCGTCTTTAACCTCAACTGGATATAAATGCTGAATCGCTCTATTCAACACCTGGCGACGACCGTTTGTCACCACGCAAACCCCTTGCACCACGAACGACCTTATCCTTGCCACAAATCAATTCCTGAATCACACCTGTCTTCCACTCCCTTTCTTACCCTGCTCAAACACAATGACCACATCCCTGGCTTAATTATCGCCGACTGTTTGTCTGCCATCCCAACCTTATGAAATTCCCGAAGATTCGTGAGATACTCCCGTTTCCACCTGCTCCAAAAATGCTCCAGTATGGTACTTAAATGTTTGAATCGTGTCCTAGTGTTTGTTCTAGTCGAATCTTGTCCTAAATCATTAAATTTTGTGTCCTTGCTATCGGGTAATGTCACGATGCGCCTACCATAGACTAAATGTGCAGAAGTAAGTACTTCACTATTCACTTCCTCGTACTCATACGTTAAGGGTCAAGGATTCAATTTGGCTTCAACTTCAGCTAGAACAGTTGTCAGTTCGTCGAAAGTAAGTTTTGCATTGCCCAAAACTTTTAAACAAACTAGACTTTCGAAAATCACCGTCCCGCCCCAATGTTTATAGCGCTAAGGCAATTATCTACTTCTTCGCATTGAAATAAGTCGCACAACGTCCTTTTTGCGGCTTTAAATGTTTTGGCGTTGTCAGAAACAATAAGTTTCGGTGTTCCAAACCTTGCAAAAAATCTTCTTAAACAGCGCAGAAATGTCGCTGCACTCAAGTCGTGCACTAACTCTAAGTGAACCGCGCGTGTCACACAGCAGGTGAACAGCGCAATGTACACCTTGCTCATACTTGCCTTTGTTTTTACGTACAAAGGTCCTGCAAAATCTACGCCTGAATTTTCAAATGGTGCGGCTCTCCTAACCCTAAACTCTGGTAACGCTGCTTGCTTTATTTGTGTACACGGCTTACTGTTCCATCGTTTACAAGCTACACATCCACCGCTCACTCTCTTAACTTCCTGTCTGCCCTTGGGTACCCAGTACTTCGACCTCAGTTGCACCAACGTGCTCCGAACTCCCCCATGCATAACAGATTCATGACACTGCCTAATCACTAGCTCTGTGAAATACTGTCTCCTAGGCAAAACAATCGGCTCTCTAGCTTCTGCCTCCAAATCTGATTCACCCAATCTTCCCGTACAATGCAGTATCCCGTTCATTTCTATCAGTCCGTACTGTCTTTCTAACTGCTTAAACTCGGGTTGCCCTCGTAACTCTAGCTGGGCTGACTTTATCCACTCGCATTCTCCATCATTCATTTCGCTCGCTTTTATTGGTCCGGTAAAAATTTCTAATCCTAGTCTTTTTTTATTTCAAATTATAGACGAATCTCTTCACCCACGCAGTGACTCTTAACAGCCGTGTAAGTGTGCTGTATTTACTTATGCTAATGACATTGCCAATTCCAAACAATGACCTTGCACTTATGATTAGGTTAACAACAAATGACCTTTTCTCTTCAACCTTGCTGTCTACTGTGGGAACTATCTCCTTCACCATAGGATAATGCCTTGGACTACCCCGCAACCAAGACGGTCCTGACCACCAAACCTCCGCGTTCTTTAACTCAGTCATCAAGACCCCTCGCGACCCTAAATCTGCAGGGTTTTCCTTACCCGGACAATGACTCCACTCTGTTTTTGAACTAAGCCTTAATATTTCGTCAACTTTATGCTGAACAAATTGCTTCCAATTGCCTGAGTTGACTATCCAATACAAAACAGTCATACTATCAGTCCAATACTTAACGCCCTCAAAATTATACTCTGACTCTAACGCTTTCCTGACTGCAGACATTAAATGAGCCAATATTCTAGCTGCCATTAATTCTAACCGCGGAATACTAAGTTCTTTCATCGGGGCTACTCTTGTTTTGCTGGCAATCAACTTAACACGAACATCGTTACCGTTCAAAACTACTAGATACACAACCGCACAATAAGCTCGCTTTGACGCATCCCCAAATCCATGCAAAAAATATCTCTGCTTTGATTCTGAGCCAGATGTGTCAGTCACGCCGCTCGAATACCTGCCTATTGAAACACTCTTTACCTCCTTTAGATCTCTCAACCACTTCTCCCACTTCTCTTTCACACTTTTAGGCAATGTATCGTCCCAATCCACGCCACTGTAACAAATATCTTGAAAGAGAATTTTAGCTTTAACAATCGTAGGACTCAACAGACTCAACACATTTCTCTTCGTCGGTTCCGTGTTTTCCGCTTTCGCACTCAAATTTTCGAAATCGAATATTATTACGTCCCCGACGCTATCCCATTCCAACCCTAATACTTTACCAAATTGACCCTGTAGTTGAGCAAGCGTGGTTTTCGCATACGTTTGCTCATCAACGCAACTACTTTCCACGTCACGCACATCTTCTTCAATTTGCAATCTTAAAGGGGTTATATCACGAATTTTAGCCCCCCTTTTTTATTAGCTTAATTGAAAATTTGGATTATTTGAAGAACTATGACATGTCGCTGGACTTAAACAGATAAATATAAGTTCCTTAATTTTGCCTCCAAAGTCGGGTACTTTTTGCGAATTTTTTACGACGCCATATTGATACTTGTGACGTAGATAGTTGAACACGTCTGTTTCCGTCAATATAATATTATATTATAGGAGGTGATTTTGTTGTCGTTTTTCTTGTGTTAAAACAAATAATGACAGTATTTTCAATAAAATATTAAAAAACAAGTTGTCCGGAAAGTATGGCTTCAAATCAGTGCTCAGATAATTCGAATTCGATGTCTGAATGCGTATCTGATTCGAGCTCGGAATCCGTGGGTTATGTCGAGCATTTAAACGACTTCGCATATGACGATGAACCGCTCGCAGGAGATGGTGATGAAGTGCATACTCCAGATGATCCCGATGGAATTCTCCTGCGACCTTAGAACAACGAAGTGATGGCGTAATTCCACTCGGTGAATGGTAAGTTGTTGTTTTCTCCTGTTTGTAATATACATAAAGTTACTTTATAAACCACAATGCTCCCACGTTTCAGGTGTAATTGTCAATGCTGTCATACCGATTTGTTAGAAGGCGCATTAGAGTACAGATGCTGTAAGGAAATAGGACCAGCTTTGCAGAAAATGACATTCGATGGCAGCATTGAGAAAATATCATGCATAACACAGCATGCCAAATTTGGGCCTTTAGTTCATGAGGCTGTCCTTGAAAACGTCGGGCCACTATTGAGAGATAGGAATGGACGTGCTTATCGCCGCCAAGCATCACAATCATTAAATATGTAAGATTGTAAATTGTATGAGAAAGAATGTTATCATCAACATTGTTTCATCAACAATAATTAGTCCAACCTTTTTATTTACTTCAGGTACTTGAGAGCTGTGGCATACAGATGGTTGATGCGATGGTTTGTGGGTCTATGGGATGGGAGAATACTCGGCCTTTACCTGCTTGTGTTTACCACTTTATTCGGAAAGCATATCCAAGTGGTAACACAAAAGGTTACATACCATCAGAGGGGCGATGATGGAAAGGTCTTTAACTTGTGCACTGTAGAGACTGTTGGCCTTCTTTGCTGAGTTTAGAATGGTCAGGAAATATGCCTAGATGAAAACCAAATAGGAGATACATGGATGCACTATACGGTAAAGAAAATCTTTTCTTCAATGTCAGTCTGGGAAAAAAAAGAAAAATTATATGGAATTAAATCATAGCATAAATGTAAAAATGGAAAATAGCAAGCCACATGAACTTATCTTATAAGGTCTTCACACTTGAGTGCACTGCATCCACAAAGGGCATGTTGAGCATTAAACTACAATAAAAAAATTATTCATGAAAATTAATTAGTTGCACAATCGAGTGAGATAGTCATCTTCAATCTGACAAGTATACATACCATTCAATGTTATATTAATACTGTAATCATCAGGAAAGGTGTGTATATCAGTGCCCAGATAGGGAGGCTAGAGGGTACTATCACTTGCCTAAGGTGAACCCTCAGGCTGGTGGTGGGAAGGAGGTGCCTTACTTCTCCATTCCAGACAGGCTCCAAGCAATGTCTGACCACTGCCCTATCATCTACCAACTTCAATTTATTCTTTTTCAGTGAAGCATTGACCTCGAGGATGTCCTTTCATTGGAGCTTTGCATTTAGTACATTTTGAGTACTTTTATTCCCAGAGCTATTTAATATTTGATCTGCATCATCTGTTAGGTCTTGTAACTGCTGTCTTTGCTGTTCCACTAAGGAAAAAATGCAGATCATTACATCCTAAAATAATTGTAAACAATACCATTATCCCATACTTACAGCACGGATAAAGTGCAGCTTAAAGTCTTTTATATCAGCTTAAAGTCTTTTGTAAAGATGTAAGTTTTTTCTTAAGACGATGGCACGATTTACATGGAGACTGGGATTCACAAATATCTTCATCAACTGCATGTAGTTCTTCTTCAAATGGCGAATCGTTTGCTTCCCCAGTGCATACTTCAACATGCTCAGCTCCATCACTAGTAGATGGTACTTCCTCATCGAGAGAATATGTTTCCTTCAGCGATGGCTTATGGAGAGTATGTCGAATAATCTACAAAACTTATATCGAATTTATATGACAAAAGAAAAATTAACATAAACAAGCGTAAACTTACTTGTCTGCGCTTTCGATCGGTTATTTCGTCCTGTGATGGTTCAGGAATCCCAGCCACGTCTATGGTTGGGATAGCGTCTTTCTTCAACCTTCTTTGAGCTTGACTTGCACGCTCAAATTAAGGTCAAAACAAGAATCATCAAAATGCGCAGAACACCGACAAGAGGTAGAGGAAGCCTCAAAACCCGGTCTATGTTTACGCACAAAATTTACCCATTTTCTATGTCTTCGCGGCTCTGTTTCTTTTTTAGGAAACAGATGCATCGACATTCCTTCTGTTTTGAATCATTGGCGCAACTAATTTGATTAGGTCCGCCAGCAACACAGCGTTTTCCTCCGCGTTTCTTATTAAGATTACTAGTAGAATACGCCATGTTGATATATGTGTTCAACTATCTACGTCACAACTCATTAGCATACCGATCAAAAAGTTCGCAAAAAAAATGCTGAAAATCGTGACTTTGAACGTCCATAAAATCACTTTCACCAATCCAATTTCAATTATAATTGCAGATTTAAAATCACTGAAATAAGGTCTTTCAATTTAGCTAATAAAAAAGGGGGGCTATAATTCGTGATATAACCCCTTTAACGCACTATCATTAGTCCGCCATTTGCGTAACTTAAATCCGCCTTCATTCATGCGTTCGTTGGCCTTACGATATAGCTGATACGCTCGCTCTGTACTAGATTCACCGCTGGCACGATCGTCCACGTAAAAGCTTTTTAGCAGTTTTTCTGAAAATTCCCTATCGCACTGTAAATATTTGCTAATATGATGCCTTAACGTCGAATTAAGCAAAAATGGTGACGAATTCACCCCAAATACGACTCTACAAAACGGTAAACTACAAGATTCAAATTGTTGCGCAGTACGTCATCTACCCACAAAACCTTAGGCTATCTCGATCCCTTTCGTGCACTTCAATGTTTAGGAAGGCCTTCTCTATGTCCGCGCTATTCTTTGCTCACGGAACCTAAGCAGAATATCAAACAAAAGTGGATTAAGTGAAGGTCCGATATGCAAACAATCATTCAAAGAGACACTTGACTTGAGTACTTTAGCGCTTGCGTCATAAACCACTCGAACCTTTGTCGTCTTGGCATCCTTTCGCACGACAGCTTGATGAGGCATGTAATGTATTTTGGCATGAGAATTAATCACACTATCTTTTCCTACCCTCTCTATGATGCCTAACTCTTCTTGGGCCTTAATGATAGTGTCATATTCCTTCAGTAATTCTGGGTTCTTACCTAGTCGTCTGATTTGTCCCTTCATTCTCTTAAGACTTAAGTCATAGTTAGTAGGTAAAGGATCGTGACCCTCCCTCCAGGGCAACCCCACTGAATAACGTGTACCGTCAAAACTAAGATCGTTTATGACCGATTCATGCACATCACTCACTTTGTCCTTAATTCCTAGGCTTTCTAAATCCCAAAAGTTTTCTACGTTGATACAAGTTTTATTAGCGGAGCAAAAATTTACCTGAGCAGTGGCGGTTTGATTCTTATCCGTGCTTCCAACCGGCCCTGAAACTACCCATCCAAGCACCGTCTCGATAGCCACAGGCTCCCCCTGCTTCCCTCGCATAATACGACCTTTCTGCAACGACCACAAGTAATCTGCACCCACGAGTACGTTTACCTCCAATTCCTCATTTACCTTACAAACATCAGACAACCACAACCCCTTCAAATGTTCAAAGTTATTTCGAACCACCTCCAAATGTTGATTACTAATTACTGATATTTCTGGTACAACATATGCCTCGATAGATACAACTTCACCACCCGACAACGAACTCAAATCCAATCGCACAACCCTTCTCAACTCGTTCTCTAAAGCCCTTTTCCCAAACGTAACTATTCTCAGATTTTCTTCACGAACGACTTTACATCCCAACGCTTTAGCCGTCCTTTCAGTAACAAATGATCTCTGACTCCCAGAATCCAACAAAACCCTTACTCGTCCCGACTTATTACCAACCAGTTTTGCTTGTGCAGTTTGCAAAGCAACATTGCATCCTGGGTTTTCACAACTATTCTTAGGACTTACAAATAGAGTATTACTACTATTGGCATCTACATTCCCAACCTCCCCTTGTCCAACAGTTCCCTGGGGCTTACTTTCCTTTCCCGAATCACACAGAGCCTTGTGGTGATTCTTCTTACATATACTACATTTAATATTGTTGTCATAGTCACGAGCCATGTGGCCCTTTTCCAAACAAATATAACAACGACCGTATTTCTTCATAATATTCTTACGTTCCTCAATTGACTTGATCTTCTCTCATTCTTCATGCCGACGACATCCCAGGCAGAATGCGCAACGAACCGGTCCCGATTTTGTCAGGAGGGCGCTTGCTGTTTTCGTATCGTACCGCCTGGCTCCATTTGACGACTTCTCAGGATCACCATGCCGTTCTCGTTGCTCTCTCTGAACTCGATGCTCTTCTCGCAGCTCAACTTCGCACTTTAACGCTCTTAGCATATCGTCCATATCCCACTGATGGAAGTTTTCGCCTCTCGTGATCAACAATCGAATCGATTCCGGTATCAAGTTCAAAACGTAAGGTACCACGATTGATGAATACGTAGCGTTGTCCACTCCCAATGCATCCAAACCTCGATGATGTGCTTCGACACTATCACACAAGTGACGAAGAGACGTAATATCTCTCGGATCTTTCACTCTATCTAAGTTCAAAAGTTTTTGCATGTGCGCTCGTTGGACCGATTCTGGCTTCCTATAGCGTTCCTTCAACGCGTCTATTGCAGCGTTGTAGTTCGCTGAAGTCAAAGAATATCCCGCGATACATGACTTCGCTGGTTCGCCTAAGAGTCCCCGAAGATAATTGAATTTGTCAACGTCGGACAAACTTCCATTTCCGTGAATGGCGCTTTCGAAGGAATCCCAAAACTCCTGCCATTCGCAAACATTTCCATTGAACCGCTTAACATGCAGCTTTGGCAATTTTGCGCAAACTGTTCTATTGGTCACCGACGCTCCTCCGTCAGACCTTAACGAACTGTTCATTCTATTCCGAAGCGCAATTGCCGTCAATCTTTTGGCGAAGCTTCCTCGCCATCGACCTTGCTTCAGAACTTATTCTTCCAGCTTCCTCGACTTCGCTGACAATGTCAAGTTCTGACGCTTCTTCGTCCCCAGCAATCAAGTTAAGGATGTCTTCATCCAGTTTTTGGAGCATAGCAACTGTCTCCAAGATTTTGTCGCGTTGCTGTTCCGCGTCATTCTGTCTTCGTTCATTGAATGCGTCGACTAAGCCTGCTGCCGACGCCACAACTTTCGTCAGGTAACCGCGATGACCTGCTCGTACTCTTTTCTTTCTTGCTAACTCCTCCATACTATCCGGCTCGAAGGACCACTTGTCGCAGAATTCACTGAGTTCGTCCAGAAAATTGATCTGCACTCTGATTCGGTTTGTTTTATGGAGTTTATTAGCAATGAACAATCTACACAATCTTTTTGACTATTACAAATTTGAGTCTATTTATATGTTTACATTTCGTGACTTACGTGCACTACTACAACATGAATTAATTAAGAGAGAAAATACTTAGGAAGTGTTAAGTATATACACCCTAATTTTTAATTATAATTTTGGCACACATAAAACTCTGCATGGGAACTTATAAAATCTGGCATGCAATAAAAAATATAAATGAAATATCCTAAATTATACAACAACGTATAGCTGGGCTTTTTCGGAAGCACCAGTAGCCAGTGAGTTATAAAACTCTCTCCAAAATATGCTAAGCGCCTCTTGTTTTACACCAGGACCTCTTCCCTTTTCGAATCTCCTGCTTCGTCGATAAATACAATCTCTAGGCAACACGACAAAATACTTTCGTCCTTGAACGCAATAATCATGTCTGCTAACACATTGTAGCAGTTAGTGGCGATTTTCTTAACCAAACGATTGTTTTCTTGAAGCTGATTACCACTGTACAATTCACCATCTGCATCAATATTTACTTCTCCATCATCTTTCATATCAAATAATATACCACTTTTTACAATCACGAAAAAACAAAGATTTTTATCTGATAAAAATTATCACAGCTTAATAATATTAATAGTAGTACTAACAATAATACCAATAATACTAATAATGCAAGTACTAATAAGGATACTAATGGAAAATGCTAGAGTACTTGGAATTACAAATAAAGATAACAGACAAAAAATATTCAACTAGTTTGTATAGTTTCTTTGGCATACTCTATATTAATAAAAATAAAAATTATACTGATAATGATACCATAATACCTGATAAGACACCCAGAATCAATCCTACCAAAAAAACTCAAAAAAAATTACATACCTACTTATAATATATTTTCAGTTTACTTAAGTCGTAGGGGTAAGCTAACTTTTTCTAACTCCTTTTTGGACATTTTAACTAAGATTTACCCATCTATTAAAGAACGACAGTTGCACCAAGCAGTTAACAAACAGTCAAAAACACAAGTAATGCGCATGGGATTATGCATTAAAGCTTAACAACACATTGACAGTGTAAAGAATGCCGTTTGATACTTATTTCTAATGTAGCTAAAGCATTACTTGACAAAATATACGTTACTTTACAGTAGATTTACCTCATTTAAATGTGTGTGTCTATTTCACAAAAACCTGAAGCATTATTTTCAATATTTTATGCTTACGGTATCGTGGTTGTTTTCGCTGGTTGTCATTAATTCAAGCAGGAATAGAGATCCGGATTCAGGAGGGAATGAATGTTAAAAACTTTTCTCAAAGTGGAAGTTTTGACAACCAAAATCCGCCATTACCGCCATGTTTTTGACCACGGGGTCCAGACCTCTTTTCCTCTCCAGGTCTTATAGAACTTATTGGTTGAATTACTTGGTTGATTTACTTCCATGTCTGATGATAATGAATGCTGTCTAGACGTCTTTCTTACTTTATCCTCAACCGAGTCGTGAACTTCAACACTAGCATAGTTATTGGAAGATGCCCCGGTACTTGCCAAGGCATCCGACAATTCTTCGATACGGTTAAATATTTGCGAAAGTATCTTATGCACCTGATGAAGATTCAGTCGCCATATAGTTTTTAATGCCACTATAAACGCGGAAAAAAATTGTGTGAAAAAAATTTCGACTGTAAAAAAATTCTCGACTGTGAAAAAGTTATCTGGACTATAAAACATGTATTCTCAACAGTAAAAACTAATCTCAATAGAAAAAACCCATCTCAATCAGACAAAGAAATTCACGAACAGAAAAAGATTCTAGACAACTTTTGTCCACTATGGCTTTCCATATTAACATTTGCGTTTAACTGGTAACTGTCCTGAAATTTTTGCGTTTGTTTACGTTTCAAACGTCACGTTTGTCAGACGAAACGTCGGGTTTCAACCATTGAGTTCTAGGGTGACAAAAGATGTACGTGAAAATTTCAATTATGGTTTTATTAAAGTTATTTATTTCAATTACAACACATCATTCAGTTTATGGAAGATTTTCATTAGTCATTTAATTTTTAGATTGCATTTATAGCAATTGTATGGCAAAGTTTTGAATCACTTTATACACCTCTTTCGGGATGGCTCTTATTTTGCTGTGATGGCAGTTTTAAGTTCTTCAAAAATAAGAGCCATCCCGAAAGAGGAGTGTATAAAAGTGATTCAAAACTTTGCCAGACGAGTACAGGTTTGCTTGCAACAAAATGGTGGACATTTGGAACACATCTTGGGAAAGCCATAAATTGACTAAAAATTGACAGAAATAGCCGAAACTCTTGTGAATAGTCTTTCATAAACTGAATAATGCGTGGTTGTAATTTGAAATAAATAGCTTTTTAATTAAAGCCATAATTGAAATTTTCATGGATACGCATCTTTTTGGGTCACCCTGTATAAGACCTGGAGGGGAAAAGGGACCTGGACCCCGTGGTCAAAAACATGGCGGTAATGGCGGATTTTGGTGGTCAAAACTTCCACATTAAAAATTTTTTCAATATTCACTCCCTCCTGATTTCTACTACTGTTTATATGAACAAAACAAGTGAGAAAAAACAATAATTACAATACCGACAGCATATCATGTGAAAATAATGCTTCAGCATTACGTGAAAACACAGTACAGACACATCAAATAAAGAAAATCAAAGGTAGAGAAACGCATATTTTGGCTGTAGCATTTAAGTTATTTTATGATATTTTAACCTTTTAAAAATGAAAATCAAACGGCATTCTTTAGTAGACCTGTAAATCTCGTCAAACTTATACATTATTTCATGCTTCTGTGTGTTTGACTGTTTGTAAACAGTTTGGTGCAACTATTTTTCTTGCTCAAGTGGATAAATCTGTGTTAAAATGCTCCTAAGGAAGCGAGAAAATGTTTGCTTCAGTCCTACGACATAAGTCAACTGAAAATTTACCATGGATAAGTATGATAAGTGTATTGTCATTACCTGATAAATCTTCTGAAAACTCATAAAAAAATGTATGTTGAACTAGAAGAGCTACAATTTTTTAAACAAAATTTTTCAAAAATGCTAACCCCTTCAACCACTAATACTCTTCTGTTTTGCTTGAACAACTTACAGCTACCAATACTAATTAGTTATATGTACAAACTAACAATTGGGAATGAAATGATAAACAACTTGATAAATCTTTGTATTTTCCATCAAGCCTTTGAACTTGTTTCTTTTATCTCTTGGTAAAAAATATTAATGAAAGACTTACAAATCAAGTTTCTCAAAAATAGTATTTTGTACAAAGAACTAAACATAATTGGAAAGGTCACATTTTGAAGACAGACTTTGCTTCTCTGACTAGGTTGCTTGACCATGAGCAATTTAAATTTGTTTACAATTTGTTTAAAGAATTCTTTTTATTGATTTGTTCTAATTCTTCATAAGACACAAAGAATTTCTTTGCCATCTATTTTTGCTTCCTCTACATTCAACTTCATTGCAACCAATGCATCCCATGTGAATTTGTGGATCACCTGGAATCATACAAAGTATGGACTTGGTTAGATGAGACAACAATATGTTTAATTTTTCAAGCATATTAATGATACAAACATATGCTATTGTTGAACAAATATTTCAAAGTTAAGAGCAAATCTTAGCACATTGTTCAACACACTTCTTTTATCTTGGTTTTGAAGGAGTAACCTGTTTACTATAACAGTAAATACTCACTTACAGAAACGCTAAGTAGTATTTTAAAACTGTTTGCATAGATCCAACTTTCCAAACCCATTATAATTGTCTACACTATACAGTCAGTCAAATTGAGCATGCAAGTAGTTTAATTGTTATTTTTATTATACGACATGTACCAAAGTTCTCATTAATTTCGCATGGCACGGCATTCAATTTCAACACAACTCTGTTGCAAACTTTTCCATCATCTTTAAAAAATAAATATGAACAAATTCTGCCCAATTTTTGGGAGGTAAACTCAATTCAAATCAGGAAAGTTTAGCTTGATCATGATACAAGATGGATGCAAAACTCGATAAAAATTGGCAGCTTCGCCACGTCTGGCGAGCGATAAAAAGAAGAACAAACAAGAATTGACCAAAATAACTTTAAATTAAAACTTAGTAGCAGAAGCACTCTTGAAGTATCGTGTTAAAAACAAAATAGTAAAACCACTACTGTGCTACTTACAGGAGTCATGAAATGTTTCCTTTTCTGTCGCTATTTCAGCATCCGCAAACCACGGAAGCTTGAAGATTGTTTAATAAATATAATTTTAAAAAAGTGTTTATGTTAGGAAAATAGTTTTGATATTTTCTATACTCCCAATCGTGGTGGTCAAATCAGGGTGGGCGACAAAATTTTTATATCATGAGCCCGCGTCTCTCCGCTGATTTTGACCACCGAAATCCGCCATGTTTTTGACCACGCGGCCGCGCGCTAATATTTCATAGTAATTTTGTTGATGTTTCCCCTCCAGGTCTTATAGAAGTCAATGGTTTCAACTGGTAAACGTTACGTTTGTTCAAATCGCGGATTTCTAAGTTTGTAAC